ACTTCAGAGGATAATTAGGACTGCAGAAAAAACAATGGCTACCAACCTGCCTTCCATGGAGGACCTGTATACTGCAGGAGTCAAAAAGAAAATATCTACAGACCCCTCACATCCCGGACATAAACTGTTTCAACTCCTTCCCTCAAAACGATACTATAGAACACTGCACATCAGAACAATTAGACACAAGGATAGTTTTTCCCCGAATGCCATCACTCTGCTAAACAAATAATTCCCTCAACCTGTTTGACTATTACAAAGTCTGCACTACTATCACTATTAATCTTCTCATCACTCCTTATCACCCATCCCCTCCCACTTGTGACTGTATGACTGTAACTTTTTCACTTGTATCCTTACGATTTATATGGACTGTTTCCTAGTATGATTTGATTGCTTATTGTATCCCGTGGCCATCATTAAGTGTTGTACCTTATGATTCTTGACAAATGTATCTTTTCTTTTATGTACACTGGGAGCATTTGCACCCAGACAAATTCCTTGTGTATCCAATCACACATGGCCAATAAATAATTCTTTCTTTTTAACAAATTTTATTCAATTTTTCACATTAAAAACAAAAATCTCTTTTTAGTGGACAACACATTTCCGGGTCATCACCTTTACATACAAATATGACAGCAATTATACATTCATATATGCATATTTAATTATATTATTACCTTTTCCATTCCAAATTTTCAGTAAGGAGAGAAACAAACACATTAATTCTAGCCTCTTTCATTAATCTCAATCGAAACACCTTTTTGTTTCATTTCAATTATTTCAAATATAATCCTTTAATATTTATTTAAAAAATAAAGATAAACAATATGTTTTTGCCTAATAATAATAATAATAATAAAAAGTTACCAATATCTCTCCTTGCTTTTAATAGTCTATATTAACTTATTAATTTAGTTGGTTCTTTAGTCTGTCATATTCCCTTTCCATTACACATTCTTTTTATAAATTCTAGATTAATACAAATTTTAATACTAAAAAAAAAACAAGTATAGGTTTCCCCCCTTTTACTGTTTTGAGTCTGACACCTCAATGGTTAAAATATACCTTTATTCCCTCATCTTGATTCCCAATAAACCATTATTTTTAAGAAGTTACAATAATAATTATTACATCTTTTCATTTGGATTCCGCAGCATATTTTCCCCACTTGATTTTTAATAAGAGTTATCAGTATCTATATTACCCTATTTTCTAAATATTTTTAATTGCAGAAATATTCTTATTACCCCTTGTCACCCTGCAGAATCCCCTTTTAAATTCATCAACCATTATCTCTGAAAAACCAATTTCTTTTCAACATTTTACTATTTCCGTATTTCTTTATTTCATGTACCTGTTTCTTACTGCTTCTCCTCCCCGTCTTTTCCCCATATCTTTTCTCATTCCAGTTTATATCCCTCTCTTTCTTAATATCTTCCTTTCCCCCTTTCTGCTGGGTCTTTCTGCCTTTCCTGACTTCACAGGGATTCCCCCTTTTGATTGCCTTCTTAAATTTCAACTTTTTAACCTTCCTTCTTTCCCCTCTTCTTTGTAGTGTTGTGTTAATTGTCTATTTAAGATGTCTTCTCCTTGAATCGACTCCTCCTCCTCTGAAGCTCTTTCTTCTTGTTCTTCAATCGCCATTTCCATTTTTTCTAACACAGAGCAAAGTGATTCGCCTCTTTCCTGTGGTAATTCTCTCATATTTTTAAGTTCCATTTTTAATTCCCGAAGAGATATCATTATTACATACTCTTATATTTTATGATCGTTAAAGTCCACAAAAAAAGCACTTTTACTTTCCTTCTTTCTTCTTCCAATTTTCTAAAACTCTCAGTTATTCCAGCCGAGGGTCTATATGAAAAACATCAATCAATCCCACAGTCAGTCTTTCCTTGTTTTTTTCTTTATTCTGGTTCTGCTTTCACTTTCTAAGATTCTTACTTTGTTTCTATATTTCTTTAATGTTATATCCACACAAGTTCATTCAGAAACAGGATGCTTTCCCTTTTGTTTGAGCTCAAGTTTTTGTCAGAAGGTGGCACTTTCCATTATACAAAGTCTTCACCTTTTTCCCCTATTTTTTTATTTAGGGTTTTTCGAACCTCAATATTCCAGCAGAGTCCAGTCTCCAATTTGTAAACTTTATTATTATTATTTTTTGACAATCTTACGTCCAGCCTTATTTTATGCCTGTTTATTCCCAAAATATTTTAGTCCAATTTAGTTAAATCTTTAGTTCCAGCTTCTTCCTTTCCCGGTTCGAAGCCCGGCTTAGCTGTCAAAAATATTTTCTTTGTTTTCCCCTTTCCCTTTGTAATTTCATCGCTCACTTTTCTTTTCTTAAAAATTCCATGTTACCTTAATCCCGGGGTACTTTTGTTTAGTTGTATTGCCCAATTGTCCCGGTTCAGATGTTATCTACTTCTTTCTTCCCTCCTGCACAAATCTTAATCCAGCTGAGTCCTCCTCTTCGGGGTGGCCATTTTAAACCACCGCTGCAGTCATCTTCGGGGGAGCGGGGAAGGACCAAGCCTGGGGGGGAGATGCAGCTCCCCTCAACCTGGCTTGCGGCTTTCCCTTACTCCACCACCCTCCAAGGCAGCTTCAGCCCTAATCGTAATGATCGGGGCTCTCCAACGAAAGAGCACGGACCATAGCTGCAGAGAGTTGCGATCTACGGTCCGTCAGCGAGGAGGCTCCGCCTTCTTCCTCGCCAATAAAGAATTCTATTCTATTCTATTCTATTCTATTCTATTCTATTCTATTCTATTCTATTCTGTAAAGGAAAAAGACCAATTGAAGCAGCAAGAAAAGCTATGAGCGTTATTAGCAGAAATTGCCACTTGGAGCCTTGTAAAATTCTGCAAACAAGGCAACGGCTGTACACTGCACTGGAATCTGTTTTTGAACCAGAGGTATTTTTACAATCATGAATCATTTGCAAAATCAGCTCAGCTGTGCAAGACGATGAATAATCGCTCCCTTCTGTATTACAAAGGACCTCTGACAAGTCAGACTAACTGGAAAGTACAGTACAGGAATTTGCCCATGGACCGTTGTCTGAGTCCTCTCCAGACTCCTGGACTCATCCCCTTTCTTCCCCACTGTCCGATTCCGCTGCCGTCTGCACAGGCTGCCGGTGAACCACAACAAAGTGTGAAAACAGCCATAAGTCACTTTTTCAGTGATGTTGTAACTTTGGGCAGTCACTAAATAAACTGTTGTAAGTAAAGGACTGCTTGTATTAACCGGAGCAAAGGCAGGCAGGTTGGCTGGCCTTATGGTCCGTGGGAATCCTCTCTGCTGTGGTTTAGTCAGGGGAGCAAGGTGGAAGTCGACCGTGGCCGGCTCAGTGTGCAAACTGCCCCCTGGTTTAAACAAAGTGGGAACTCAGCCCCTGCCGCTTCTCATCCTTGCTTGAGGGCTCAGTAGGCAGAATCAGAACAGAGCTGGAAGGGACCTTTGAGGTCTTCTAGTCCAGCCCCCTGGGCAAGCTTGGAGATCCAAGACCATTCCAGACAAGTGACTGTCCAGCGTCTTCTTAAAAACCTTCCCGCGATGAAGCCCTCACAACAACTGAACGGCTGTGTTTGTTTGGAAGTTTCTCCTTCATTCCAGGTTGTTTTTCTCCTTGATTAGCTTCCATCCGTTGCTTCTTGTCCTGCCTTCAGGGGCTTTGGAGGAAGGGTCTCCCAACCTTGGCAACTTGATTGTAGGGCCCTAACTTTGTTGCTTGTATCCTTACGATTTATATGGAGTGTTTCCTAGTATGATTTGATTGCTTATTGTACCCTATGACTATCATTAAGTGTCGTACCTTATGATTCTCGATTCTTGACGAATGTATCTTTCCTTTTATGCACACCAAGAGTTTCTGCACAGCGACAAATTCTTTGTGGGTACAGTCACACTTGGCCAATAAAGCTATTCTATTCTATTCTATTCTATTCTACTCCTTATTCTATTCTACTCTGTTCTATTCCTTATTCTATTCTATTCTGTTCTATTCCTTATTCTGTTCTATTCCTTATTCTATTCTATTCTATTCTTTATTCTATTCTATTCCTTATTCTATTTTATTCCTTATTCTATTCTATTCTATTCTATTCCTTGTTCTATTCTATTCTATTCTTTATTCTATTCTATTCCTTTTTCCTATTCTATTCCTTATTCTATTCTATTCCCAAGGTTGCTTTGGACAATAGCTTGACCCCCTCCTCTTCTTTGGGGCAGCCCCTCAAATATTGGAAGGCTGCTCTCGTGTCACCCCTAGTCCTTCCTTTCATTAAATTAGCCAAAGCCAATTCTTGCAACTTCCAGAACCTTTAATCCTCTTAGTTGCTCTTCTTTGCACCCTTTCCAAAGCCTCCACATAAGCCTCCTTTCCAAAAAGCCTCCGCGTAACGTGGGGACCCCAAAACTGGACGCAGGATTCCAGGTGCGCGCGTCCTTACTAGGGCTTTACAAAAGCGGCGCTCAACCCCGGGTTGGAAACCAATTCGAGTTTTCCAAGCTTCCAGGAGAACCCGTGGCGGAAGGAGCGCCAGAGGGGAAGGCGCGCACGGGAAGGGGGGGGGGGGGCTTTTTCCCTGAAGGCCCCCTGCCTCTGCTAGCCCCCGCCGTCGGCCCTCTTCTCGGGAAAGCCTCGTTGGAAGAAGCAGCCAGAGGAGGAGAAGCAGGAGGCGCCGGACCGCTCAGCCAGAGGAGGGCGAGGCGAACCCCGGCCCTTTTCACACGTGCCTGGTTTTGTTGACAGGGCTGGGCTTGGCCCGGCGTCACGTGCCCCGACGGCCGGCCTTGGGCTCGCAGCTGCGCGGGTCTCCGCTCAATGCCGCGACTTCCTGCCTCGGCTGCAAGAGCGGCGGCGGCGGCGGCGGCGGCAGCAGCAGCAGGGCGGCGGCGGCGGCGGCGATCCGGTCCGCGTGAGTTGCGGGCAAGCGCCGCCGCCTCTGTGGCTGCGGGGTCGGGCGGCGGCCCGGAGGCGGACGAAGATGAGCGCGGGGCACGTCGTCTGCACCGGCTGGCTGATCAAGTCGCCCCCCGAGAAGAAGCTCAAGCGCTACGTGAGTCGGCGGGGGTGGGGGAGGCGACATACCCACCCACCCCAACCCACCCTCCCCTTCGTCCGTCCATCCATCCCTCCATCCCGCGTCCGGTGCTCTGGCCTTGCAAAAAGCCTCTGCCTTCTCCCCCGCGTCCCCAAAGGAAGGGCCGGCGGGGCGCGGATCCTCCCGGGCTTCCAAGCCGGGATTGTGCGAAAGGGAGGCGGGCGGGCGGGCTTGGCTTGGCTCGTGGGAAAAGGAGCGCTGCCACCCCAGCCTTCTCGGGGCTTGAAACGCTCGCTTTGGAGGCGGAGGAGGCGCCTCGGGCGCCGGTAGGCTTGGGGGCTTATTGGACACCCCCCCCTCCCGCTCCCCACCCAGCGCCCCCGGTCTGCGAGCGCTTCTGCCCGTTACGCAACCCGGAGCGGAGCTGGCTTTGTTATTTTTGGTTTGGTTTGGTTTTTTTTTTGAACGAGACGCCATCGCGCGCCCCTCCAGCCCCCGCCGGTGGTTGCAAGGCGAGGCGGCCGCCTTTGGCTTTGCTCGGGGAGGGCTGTGTGGGTGAAGTGGCGCCCTCCCCCGACGTGGCTGGCTTGCGAAAGTTGTGAGACCGCGATGGTGGGTGGGTGGGTGGGCGAGCCGGACCGACTGGTGGCTTCACCGGTCCTCGAAAAAGGGGTGGTGGGATGGGGCGGTGGGACAGAGGCTGCGGCCGCAGTCGTTCTGACGTGAGGGGAAAACGAGGCTTGCGAGACGTGGTCTCCAACCCCCTCAGGAAAAGGTGTAAACCGGCTGAGTAGGAGAGTTGTCGGGGGGTGGGGGGAGAGAGAGAGAGAGAGAGAGAGAGATGAGGAGGGGTGTTTGTCGGGCTCGGTGCAGCACCGGAGGTTGGGGGAGGGGCGGGTCGGCAATAGATTCGGATTCTGACGTGACCTCTTAGCAGAAAAGTTACACAGAAAAGGAGACGGGGAAGGATGCAGGAGAGTTTAAGAAGCGGCGGCGGCGGCGGCGGCGCCTGAAGAGCGGCTCGCTTTTAAGTCTCCCTCATGAAACCACCTGCTTTCCAACACACGCATCCATGCGCGCGCACGCCACACACACACACACACACACCCCACACACTCCATTGCCCAAAATGTGTCGCGGTGTGAGGTTGACAACAGTCCCCATCCTGGTACTTTGGCAGCGAGCGACGCCGCTTGAGTCGCCCTGCGCGGCTTGGAAAAGCGCCCGGCCGCTTCTCCGCCGGAGCCTATTGCAAGCAGCTGGCGCGCCCCCCTCATCCGCCTCCCGTTTCCGAACCGGTGCCCTCCTCAGGCGCGCCCCGCTGCCCCGGCCCGGCCTTTCGGCTCCGCCGGGGTTGCTGGGCAGGGAGGGAGGGAGGGGGTCCCGCCCGCGCCTCTGGACCAGCCCCCGTCCGTCACTAGGCCGAGCGGGGCCCGAGGAGGACCGCAGCAAACGCCTTTCCGGCGCCTGGCCTCCGTGGGGCGGGCTGCGTGGGCCCTCTTGCCCGCCCTTCGGCCCAATTTTCCCCCGCTCGAATCCCGCCGGAGCTTCCCACTGTGCAGCTGGCCAGCACCGCCGCGGGTCCTTTCCCCCCCCCCCCCTTTTGGGGGTTTGGCCGGGGGGAGGGGGGGGGGGGGGGGACGGGGGGGGGGGGGGGGGTCGGAGGGTTGCAGAGGCCGGGATGCAAAGCTCCTCTGGGTGCCTCTTCGGTCAGCCCCGCGCTGCAGCCTCGCGCCTCCGCCCGGAGTTTTCCTCTCGGCTCCTTCTTCACCCTTCCTTCCTTTTTTGAAACCTGGAAAATGAAAGGAAAAGAGAAGCGGGGATCAGAGAGGAAGGGATGCTCTCCCTCCAGGCATCAGGATTTAACACACACACACACACACACACACACACACACACACACACATCAAAAGCTTGGGATGCTTGTAGTGTATTAGTGACTTGTTTAACGTCTGCCCCCCCCTCCCACACACAGCCCCGCCTTGGTGAACTTTAAATAACTATTTGCAGCCAGTCTCTCGGGAGCCTCGTATAAATAGCTGTATCTCTGGTATCTTTGGATTGTGTTCTGCTGCGGAGGGTGAGCAAACCCACCCACCCCCCTTGTTCTGTTGGACAAAATGCTCCAAATGCTGCATTTGGAACGGGGCACAATGGACAGAGTTGTGCATAAAGAGCAGATCAATGGACATTTAGCCAACCCCCTGCACAAGCAGGAGTCCCTATACCATTTTACACAATGTCATCCAGTCCCTTCTTAAAAGTTGGAGCACCCACAACTTTTGAAGGCAAATTGTTCCACAGGTTGATTGTTCTCAGTCTTAGGAAATTTCTCCTTAGTTCTAGGTTACTTCTCTCTTTCTTCACTTTCCATCCCTTGCTATTTTTGTTTTGCCTTCTGGTGCTTTGGAAAATAGGTTGGGCCCCCTCTTCTTTGTGGCAGCCCCTCAAATATTGGAACACTTCTATCATGTCTCCCTTAGCCCTTCTTTTCATTAAACTAGATATACCCAATTCTAGCAACCGTTCTTTATATGTTTTAGCTTCCAGTCCCCTAATCATCTTCATTGCTCTTCTTCACACTTTTTCCAGAGTGTCCAAAGATCTTTTTTTATATTGTGGTGATCAAAATTGGTTGCAGTATTCCAAGTGTGATCTTACCAAGGCATTATAAAACCGTAGCATCACTTCTTGTGGTCTTGATTCTATCCCTCTGTTGAGGCAGCCTAGCATTTGTATTTTCTTTGCAAACGTTTTGCTTCTCATCCAAGAAGCTTCTTCAGTTCTGAAGTGAAGTGAAGGAGGTTCTTGGAGGAGAAGCGAAACATTTTCAAAGGAAAAAAAAAAACCAAGAAAGTCCAGTTGCTATTTGGAAAAAGCACCTTTGAGACAACCATGACCGGGAGGATTGAGAATCTCCATAGACATAGCTCAAAGCAAAAGAGGAGAAAAATATTTGTCTGCCAGAAATCCTGATGAAGAGTGGCTCATTTTTCAGATGCCTGGAGAAGCCCACTTTGAAGGTTTATGGTGTATGTTGATACACACAGTCCTCAAGTTACGTCTACAGTTGGGACCAGAACTTCCATCACTAAGCAAAGCGGTCATTAAATGAGTTGTCCTTGATTATATATATACATACATACATACGTACGTACGTACGTACATACATACATACGGCATTCGGCTTTGCTCGGGTATTTTCCCATGTCATTATAGTTGTGCTTTTAAAGTTGTAGCGACGTTTCAGCAGAATCTCATCTGCCACCATCAGGCTTCTGTATAGTGTTCATCTGTGAGTCAGGCTTTTATAGTGGTTTCAGATTTAAATTTGGGGCAGCCTATTGAAACCACTATAAAAGCCTGACTCACAGATGAACACTATACAGAAGCCTGATGGTGGCAGATGAGATTCTGCTGAAACGTCACTACAACTTTAAAAGCACAACTACTATGACGTGGGAAAATACCCGAGCAAAGCCGAATGCCATACATGTAAGTACCCGCGAAAACTTAAGAAAACACACACACACACACACACACATACACACATATATATATAGTGTATTCAGCTTTGTTTGGGTATTTTCCTACGTCATTATAGTTGTGCTTTTAAAGTTGTAGCAACGTTTCAGCAGAATCTCATCTGCCATCATCAGGCTTCTGTATTGTGTTCGTCTGTGAGTCAGACGAACACAGGCACAGCAGTAGGCTAGCCCCAAATTTAAAACTGAAACAACTGTAAAAGTCTGACTCACAGACGAACACAATACAGAAGCCTAATGATGGCAGATAAGATTCTGCCGAAACGTTGCTACAACTTTAAAAGCACAACTATAATGATGTGTAGCAATGTTTCGGCAGAATCTCATCTGCCATCATCAGGCTTCTGTATTATGTTCGTCTATATATAGTACGTATGTACTATATAGTACGTATATGTAGTACGTACATACATACATATATATTTGCTGCAGTTGTTAAATGAACCACATATCCTTGAGTGAATCTAGCCTTCCCCGTTCATTTTGCTCGTCAGACGCTGACTGGGAAAGTCGCAAACAGCGACCATGTGACCCTGGGGTGCCGCCACCGTCACAAATGCAGGCTGGCTGCCAAGTGCCTGAATTTTGTTCACGTGAATGCAGGTACACAGCAAGTGACAATCATAAGAGTGAGGACCAAGAGGCAGTGCCGTGTAGTGGTTATAAGCTTGGACTAGGCGCGGGGAGACCCCAGGTTCTATTTCCCCCTCAGTCATGGGGCACAGTTACACTTTCTCAGTTCAGTCTACCTTACAGGGTTGGTGTTGTGGGAAAATTTGGAGAAAGAAGTACTGTTTGCTGCCATGAACTCCTGAGGCATGAGATACTCTTAACACAGGGGTCTCCAGCCGTGGCAACTTTTAAGACTTGTGGACTTCAACTCCCAGAGTTCCTTTGTGCACAGGTAATCCTCAATGTACAACTACAATTGAGCCCAACCTTTCAGTTGCTAAGCAAGACCGTTGTTAAGTGAGTTTTGCCCCATCTTACAGCTCTTCTTGCCACAGTTGTATGAGGGAATCGCTCCAGTTGTTAAGTTACTCCAGGGGTCTTCAAACTTGGTGACTTTAAGACTTGCGGACTTCAACTCCCAGAATTCCCCAGCCAGCCTGCAAACTAACAGACAAATAAGCCACAGAAGATCCATCTCATCCTGGGCACCCTTTTTTTTTGAACTATTGCCATCTGGCAGTCGGTACAGGATAATAAAAACAAGGACAGATAGGCTGAAAAACAGCTTCTATCCCAGGGCAGGAACTCTATGGAATTCAACTGTATAGTGCAATATTAATGCAATATCAGGGGGTTTTCAATTCAATGTATAGAATGTGAAGGATGTGTATTTGTGTTTATTTTCATAGTTATAATGTACACTGAAAATGGTATTTAATTTCATTGTACAAGGTGCAATGACTAAACTAAAATAAACTGAAGACACGCCCTTGGCTTTTTATCTTTTAATCTTCCCCG